CCCCAAAACCCCAAAACCCCAAAACCCCAAAACCCCAAAACCCCAAATGAGAACCAGAATAATGAAGAAATTTGAAATATATAATATGTCTACTTGGTCTTTACATTAGAATCTTTCTCATTATTCGAACTAAGTTCTTCTACTGCTTTTTCCACCATGCCTTTCATTATTTCATCCCAGTTTTCGTAGAAGTTGCTCATTATCTTGTCTTGCTTGACTCAGTTCGTCAATAAGTTGTTCACAAACTCATGAGCAGCTTCATTATTTCTTTTCATAAATTGCCTTGTGTTCCTTTCGGAATGATGACTTCCTGATGGATCATCTTTGCTCCTTTCTTGAGAAATTTTAGCTGGTGAAAATCTCTGATTTGATAAAATTTTATCAAAGTTCTGGAACTGTGTTTTAGCTTCTAACTTTTCTTCTTCTGTAACCGGCTTCCCATTAATTTCTATGACAAGAGGAAACCTATATACAATAAAGCATCTACAGAGAGCTGTAGAGTCTACATCGTTATTGGTTATAGATAGAGACCTTAATGTATTAATAGCTTCAAGCTTCGAGATTTGCACAAATGAAAATACATTATTATCCATAAAAGTGAGCTTTCTGAGCCTTTCAAATTTCTTTAGCTTCTTCATATTTGAGCTTCCAACAATAGTGTTAAACCTCATGTATTGAAATGTGATTTCCTCAACATTTTTCTGGAATTCTGGCTTTTCAAGCACCTCAATTGCATTGCCATAGATAAAAAGCATAGTGGTTCCCTCAATTTCGGCATGCCCTGATTGGACTCAACTCTCTTGTTTACTATCCTTCCTCTTTTTGTATCCATTTAGTCCTTTTTCTTTAAGTCTTTTCATTTCATTTTTCCATTCCTGTGAAATGATCCTCAGAAGGCTGTCAGGAGAAATGTCTTCACCAGTAGGGTCTTCCTTTTTGTCAGGAGTTGGTTGAGTGCTTTCTGTTCCTGATTTGACCTCCTCTAGGCCAAAGCCCTTAATGTCTTTATACTCTGTTTCCTTCTTACTGTCAAGTAATTTCAGACTGAGAAATTTGGAGAAGCAGAAGCTAACGTAGGTCTTGGCATTGCTTGCAATTGAGTTTCCTTCAAGAGTAAGCTCCTCCAAGTTCTTGACATTCTTCAGGTTTTTGATATTGTCAAACATTTCAAATTTGTTTTGTGCAAGAAATAGTTTCTTCAGACTGATAAGCCCAGTCAGGTTTTCAACCACTGAAATGTTGTTGTTTGATAAGTTCAAAGCTTTGAGGTTGGAGAGGTGTTTTATGTTCTCAATCTTAGAAATCTTATTGGTATGGAGGTCAAGCATTTCTAAATGTTTTAAAGAATCAAGTCCTCTTATTCTCACTATGTTATTCTTTCCTAAGCTTAGCATTCTGAGGGATGGTACTGTATGCAAGTTTTCAATTTCTGATATTTTATTTGAGTAGAGATCTAGACATACAAGGTTTGGAAGTGATACTAAATTCTCGATCTTTCAAATCGAATTTAACTGGAGGTTCAATAATCTTAGCCTCTCTTCACCCTCCAAAAGCGGCAAATGGGTAAGTTCTCTTTTATTCAGAATCAATTTATCAGGATGAGCATTTCTTTCGGATGGTTTTCTGTAGACAACAAGCACTCCTGGTATTTGTTTTAATTCGGCAAATATGATCTTGTCTTCATCTTCAACTTTTCTGACTATTCCATGTCGAAGGAGGTATCTATACCTCTCATCATCTTCATTTGCGGTGAGCTTCTTAATATCAATAGCACTGCTCCCCTCTAGCTTAAAATTCTTGGGAACGTCAGAGAGATCTGAAGTGGGTTTGCGGTACCCACTTGGAGGTCTGTTTCCTTGAATTTGGTATTTGCCAATGTTATACTTCTTTGAACCCGAAGAAGGGTACATTTTGTTCAAATTAAAAATTATTTAATTATAAATCAATACCAATCCAATTTATGGGGTTTTGGGGTTTTGGGGTTTTGGGGTTTTGGGGTTTTGGGG